GAAGTTAATTTGGCGTAAACCTAACTTTCAAAGATTTCTCGAGCTATGACATGTCATGTCTATGTGCAGTCACTTACACTTCTGTTTAAGAAGTTCTTGCTTATATTACAAATATGAACTTTACAGTTATCCTCCAAAGTTCCCAGTGCTTTGAAGAGGAACCCTGAGGAGCTGTGGAGATATTAGACTTAAGTTTGTCTCATAGGAATATCAGTGTCCATTTGAATGCCCTTCTTTCTATTTTTTCTTTTTAATCCCATTGTCAGCTGGTGGCAGATTATGGTATTGGAGCCTTGTGATAAAATTCGTCAAAGTTCTAGTTCCACACTTTACAGCCAGTCAGTTATTAAGAGCTTTCTCTTTGCAGAGAAGAAAATGCCTAGGTTCCTTCCAACTCTAAATTCTATAAACCCTCCTGGGTTCAAATATTGGTTACTGACTTTGAGACCCCCTAGCTAAAGAGTTGACCACATTTTCCTGATGAAGAACTAAATGTCCTTCTCTGTTTTTTAGACATTTGAATAAAAGAACATAGAAATGGAGTACAAATCTCTGACTTAACGTTTAACAGCTACCAAACCTTGCTATCCAACATGGACACCAACTAATTCTGGAGACTGATCAAATGTACTGCCTGTAGGACTCCCTTTACTAGTTGGTAACTCCTGGTCTAGATAATTCATCTTTATAGTTGATATAACACAGCGGTCCTGTTGGTCAGTGAATTTTCTGTGTTGCCCCTCCCAGATTCTCCCATGGCAGCACATGCATGAATTTATACTTAAGCCGTTTGGGTATGCATTTCATATTTGCCCTTCGTGTTCTTTCAACAACTCTTTGAGACAAAGTTAAAGATCATGAACCTTAGCTTGAACTGACTGGTGTCATGGCAACTAGCACTTCACCTTTTGTTGGTCCCCACTTCGTACATGCTACAATATTTGTGCGCATTAATAATTCATTGCAAAGTGCCAGATTTCTTTGTGCTGTCAAGCAGTGTCAAGGACGGAATATGCTGTGCTATCTCAGATGTCATCTACCAGACTGTTGAGGGCAAGAGTAATTAGAAAGGAAAACTAGTCGGGTTACTTGGGAAAATTCCTGAAAATGTGATGCTTGTTAGTCACCCATTTGTAGCATTTTTCTTGCAAGTAGGGAATAGAATTAGTGTTGATCAAAGTTTATTTAATAATGCGCCACAGACATAAGGCAGGAGTTTGGTTGTGGAAATAACACAGGAGCAGTAATTGCTCACCTCCATCCAGGCAGCAAAGGAAATGATTAACAGCCTCCAAGCTCAGTCACGTGTACTGGCTCCAGGGGGAACCTGAGCACAGGCTTCAAAGAAACCTGAGTGGTCTCCGTGTGGCTGCTCTTAGCCCAGGCCACCTTTGCCAGGCACAGAGTAGGAGCCAAGTAAGTGCTTGACACAAGCTTTGGTTATGTGGCCTGGGATAGCTTACTTCACCTCCCAGTTTCCTCAACGGCTTGTTTGTTGTTGCTGACATTGTTACTAGTTGTTGTAGTAGTACGTATGGTAATTGTAGTAGTGCATGTGACTGGTGAGCCTTTCTAAATAAAGAATTTAGCCCTTTGTCTCAACATGTAGAAAATGCAAAGATGCATTGGATTTTGTTCATACAGAAGGCCAAATTGGTCCCTGATTAGGCAAAGAAATCACATTTTAAACTGATTATTGACCCACCACTACTTAAAAGAACAAAAACAAAAACTCCCTCTCAAAAGAAAGCTTCATATTAAAGCAAACCAACCAATCTATGTCACGCTTTACTGGCTACTTAAAGTTGAAATGTTTTTTCCTGAAAAATATGTTTATAACCCTCAATCGGAAAAGACCTTGGTCACATAGCCATATTTGGATTCTTTTGTTTCTCTTTCTTTTTTTGTTTCCTTTTCTTTTTTCCTTTAAATACAAAACCAGTAGCTTAACTCCCCTCCAACAACTTTGGATGGGGATGCGGAGTGGGGGACGGGCAGGCCCAAATCACATTTTTTAGAATATGCAGCCAAAGTACCCTGCTTATGCAAAGAGTTAACTAGAACTGTTTTACGTTGGATGTATGGATTTTAAACACTGCTTAGAGACAGGAATGGGACCAGCTCTAGTTTTACCCCATCATTTGTATGGCCAGATCATAACACAGTGTCTGCATGTAATAGACATCCAAGAATGACTGTTGAATGGATAGGTTAATACCACCAGACTCATTTCAGGGGAAGGGGAAGATGATATTGATCAGTTTCAGAATCTTGTAACAAAAACAGGAACGTGTTAATCTTCTATCATCTGCCTTTCTGTGGTGCTAGGGATCTGGATTAGTCATTTAATACCTGCAGGCCAGACTGGTCTGCACAGGAATACAGGAAAGTCATTAGAGCTGACTACTCTGGTGTCTGTGAGTTTCTGGTCAGCCCGCCACCAGCTAGAGTTAGAGTGGACACTGGTCACACACACAGGCACGGTCAGTGATTCAGATTTGTCAGGTAACCCAGGAGCAGATTTTTGCTAGAATTTTATATTGTTTGTAATTCTCAGGATTTAAGATTGTATTTTTGTACTTACCTATACTCAATAAGAACTTTTTTTTTTTTCCTTTTTGTCTTTTTTCGTGACCGGCAACAGATCGCAGCCCTCAGTGTCGCACCCGTACCGGACCGGGACCGGCAACGGGATCGCAATTCTCGGTGTTGCGCCCGCCCCTCGCTCAGCCAGTGAGCGGCTGGTCTGTATGTGGGATCCGAACCCTCGGCGGGAGCGCCGCCGCGCTCCCAAGCGGTGCACTGTAGCAGTGCACCACCGGGCCGGCCCAATAAGAACTTTTAAAACACTCTTCATGCTAAGTTTATTCCCATCTTCCAAGACTAGGCAAACTTTTAATACTCAGAAATGATCTCTGTTAACATCAAGAATAAATTTTTTGCTTTTTAGCTAATCTGGGAACAATTTATCATAACCAGATACTTAAAAGAAGACATATAGCCAATTACTTAAGGATGTGTTTTCTGGTTTAGATTGGAATATATGTGATGTTACTTTTTTCAGGTCTGTGATATAATGGCCATGTATAAGTTATAGAGCCTAAATATGAACCTATAATGACCTGAAGTACCAGTTCTTCACTTTTTGGGGTATCAGGCAGACCAAAATAATAATCACTGTCATAATTACCCTAACCATTCCAGTTTACTACTACAAAGAAATACTATCAGGCTGAAACGTGTGTCTCTCTTACGTCAGCAGTGTGCCGGCTCTATGCAGTAATGAGAAGTGTGTTCACTTGCTTTCCTCTGCAGTGTCTAGCACAGTGCAGAATTCTCCTGTTGTTATTTGTACAACTGATCTGTGTCTTCCAGCTTAGTCTGGAACAGCCAGGCAAATAAGTATAGAAAAATCAAAACACAACTAAACATATAATTATATGTTAAGATTTCTGAATGGTACCAACTGTACACCTTAGAGAAATATAGACAAAGTCAGGCTGGTCTAGAATCATTAGATAAAGGTTTGACACCCTAACTTCCTTCAATAAAGAATTATTGGAAGACTCCAGAGAGATAATTAATATAAAACACTTGAAAAGCATAAAAGACTATATAAATATGTGATTGACATCACCCTTTGGTTCATCTAGGAAGGGACTGAGGGAAGGTTATCAGACAAGAGTTTGTGGGTAAAACGGCATAGGTAAGAATAAGCATTGCATAGTTACCTGTGAGGAGACTCAGATAAATGGAGTGTGAGCTAGGGCAGGGTGCTGTGTGATGACCAGGAAACAGACTGGGGAAGACCTGGGCATACTTCAAGAAGATTCATCTGGTAACTGTATGCATCATAGATAGGAGCATGGAAAAACCTCAAAATAATAGAATCACTGTTTTTAATCTTCAACATGCAAAAGCTAACATAACAAATTAGATATTCATGCAAAAACTCAGCCAGGAAATCATCTGGGAAGGGAATGCAACTCTTCTTTAAGTCTGCTGTGTAGTGTTTTGTTTTTTTTCTTTAACTTCATAAATCACAGGAAGCTGTGCTGGCAGTAGGATATAACTCAGCAGTAGACAGATTGCTCTTTGCTGCTTTCTTTTAAAAAGCAGGTTATAAAACTGTTGGGAGCCTGATGGAGTAGTTAATAGATCATCTTAAGCAATTTGAAGTAATTTTTTTTTCCCTGATACAGCCTTGCATTTTGAAGGCAAGAGAGCTAGAGGGGGAAGAGTTTAGTGAATAAGAAATCAGTGCTGCCCTGGAACTTGTGCCACACACGCTCCTGCACCGAGTGGCTGGTCGCCTGCCTCTGTAGGAGAGTCCCTGCCATCAACCCCACAGGAGAGTGTGGTCATTCAGAGTGCTACTGGTTCCTGTCAGTGCAGGACACATTTTTTATTACAGTGGTTCTATACTTTTACCCTGTTTTTTATATCCTGAAATACTTTACCTCCTGCTAGTAAACTTTGGTAGTAAACCTTTGGATGCTAGAGAATGATGGTGGAATACCTCTTCATTCATGGGTCTGTTACTGTTTAGACATAACCATAAGGTAAACATTAATCCAAGGCACCTGTTCCTGGGTAGGCTGGAGATTCCTCACCAACCAAGAGATAGCCGTTCTGAAGTGTCGTGAGCAAAAAGAGCTTTCTGACATGGGAGTAGTTTAGATAACAGGCAACTAACTCCTGAAAGGTGATAAAGAGCCGTCTACTAATGGCTTTCTTTTCATCTCTGGACATTGTCCCCAAAAGCTCTCGTGTTATGGTCTTATTGGTCAGACTTATTATAGTCCTGCCATGCCAATGATATGGTGCTAAGTTAACCAGACACTTAAAGGATCTTCTCTTTTCGATAAATGTAAAATATTTTCAAATGAATTGGAAAATGTAATGTTGTGGGGGTAAAATTTTGTTTTTTGATCTTGGGTGGGGTTTTAGATGAAACTCACAATGTCAGTTCTAAAGTTTGAATCTCACTTTTCTTTCAGACCACTAAGGCTTTTCTTCCTACGATGCTGGAGATTAATCATGGTCATATTGTGACAGTTGCAAGTTCCTTGGGATTGTTCAGTACTGCTGGAGTTGAGGTTTGTCAGATATAAAGCATTCCCTTCATTCAGTTGGTTATCTTGTGTTGAATACACCAGAATCCTAAGGAGAGTACCTGCTGCCCGTTCATCCATGACCACGCTCTGCCTCTGTGCTGTGTGTACGGAGTTCCACAGTAACCCAGGGCCAGCAGATTAAATCATTTATGGTAGTTTGACAAAGCAGCAGCAGCAAGAGAAGTAGGTGGGCCAGCCCTCAGTACGGCCCATTTTCATTAGCAACCTCGCTGGGTGGTGGTGGGAGGCACAGGGTCGAGAATGGAACCGTGGGGGCAATAGCAGTGCCTTGGGGACAGATAAATGAGCCAAAGGTTCACTTTCTGTTTTGGTCCACTTGCCAACAGTGAGCCATCTTCTATCAGCTCATCAGATGAGGTGGTTATGGCCAATGTCAGGTGTCCTGCATTGTAAGTTTATAGAACTGGGCTTCATCAAACCTTGTACTTCTCTATATTCAAATTATAAAGCATGTGCATGTGTGTTGTTGTGTTGTTTGCCCTATGGGTGCCTGTAAAATTGAAAACATCACTCCATGCAAATATGCAAAAGGACACAGGATAGATAGCTTCTATACTCAAGGGAGTTATATTTCCATTCCTAAATTTAAAGTTGGGTCACGGACAAGAATGTTTTCTGTATATCATGTGTCCTGAGGTCAAGTTCTAGTTTAAGTTTACAATGTATAGTTATCATTTTCATTTTAACTTCACCCTACAAAGAAAGTCAGATCATAACAACTTATAACCTGAGCTAGACTTGCCTTTGTTCTTCTTGCATTAATTTAAACAAACTGGTTTTTTCGGTCCCCTTTACTGAACAAGAGACCATTTGTAAATTTTCCAGACACTTCAAAGTGAACCTCTCTCCATTTTTAACTCCAGCTTGTTAGCTTTCATAGACTCCTTCATGGTAGCTTCCACAAAGTAATGTGATACTTAGTCAACGTGGCAAAAAGTGTCCATCTGTCTCTGCTGCTGCTTTGAAAATGTCATTTCTGCACTGAATACATCAGATCTGTCTTTTAAAATGGTTTCCTTTTCTCTGCTTAGTCACCTGTAACCTTTTACATCAAACATCTAACCAGTATAATAAGACCAGGGAAGCTTCAGTTTGGTTGGGGATTTGTACATGTACTTAGTATTTCTGTTTTCTGTTCCCTCTAACTCAGGATTACTGTGCCAGTAAATTTGGAGTTGTGGGTTTTCATGAATCCCTGAGCCATGAGCTAAAGGCTGCTGAAAAGGATGGAATTAAAACAACCCTGGTTTGCCCTTACCTTGTAGACACTGGCATGTTCAGAGGCTGCCGAATCAGGTCAGTGAGAACCTATTTTACTATATTATTGGGAATCATATTGGGAAAATACTTGGAATTGGATCTTCAAATACAGTCAGCCTTTTGCACTTTAACTGTCATTTGACAGGTAGGTAACCTGTAGTTTTCACTGGTCAAGGTTTGAAGGTTTGTAAAAAAAAATCGGTGTGCAAGATTGACAAGCGAGGGGTTGACAAGTGCTGCACTGATAGTAACTCGCAGAAATTAATCCAGAAGCATCAGAGAGAAATGGCTTCCCGACCTTCCGAGAAAAAGTAAATATCCAGGAGTTTCCTTAGAAGCTACATGTTTCGGAGTTGTTTTTAATTTCTTTCTTTTTTTTTAATATTAATGTTGGTAAATAAGGGCTCCAGAAGAAAATTTCCTAATGTGACTTTGGTTTGAATATGAAACAATTGCATTGTCACAGAGGAGTAACATGCCTTTTTTCTAAAAAGACTTTTTAATATTACACTCTAGATTTGGAAACTTCCTATTTGCAGCAAGCATATGTAGCTAGATTCAGTCTGACAGAATGAAAAGAATCGTTTAGATTTACTAAAGATGAAATAAAATACCCACACACTTAGAAAGGAGGCATATGGGAATATAAATGTCAAGTTACATCTGACTTGAGCTCAGCAGAATAAACAAAAGCGTGAATCATTAAGAGGATACTTGTGAAGACATGCTTACTTTGAGATCTTTGCTTGGATGAATTTGAAAGGCAGGGGAAGATAACCAAACCAGTTCCCTGTTGGTCAGGGGCATTGTTAGCACACACTGAACTGAACAAGCAGTGAAGTAGGTGGAGAGTGATTTGAGTCATTGCAGTTTCAGGCTGACTTCCAGTCTGGACTGGGAAATGGACTCTAGCTTTGCCTCTTATTCCGTGGGTGTGGGTGGGTGGGTGGGTGGGTGTGTGTGGGTGGGTGGGTGTGTGCGTGTGCGTGCATGTGCATATTGGTTTGATTTTTTTCCCTCATGTAATTAAGAACCAGTTGCTGAGGGTTTTGAGGAGCTACCTCTTTTCCTTCTTTAGACAGCAGCAGTTGCAGGTGTCCAAAGCTGTGGTGGGACAATGACAAGTAATAGGAATATATCATATTATTGCATTATTTCAACATGTAACTTAATGAATCAGACTGAAGATAGGATGTCCATATGCCCTTCATTTCAAAGGCCCCAGCATATACCTTAGCTTTCCCTATTCAGGCATCCTGGAAAGTGTATAGCTGACTTTAATTTCACTCAGAAAGGTTGTGCCATTATTCATACACCCTCATTTCAACTACAGCTAATAAATACTAAAAGCTTGGCATCTTGTTTTGAGTTTAGGGTTTGCCATACCAAACACTCTGTCCTTTTTCTGTTGAAAGAAAAAAATAGAAAATTAATTTGAATACATTTAAGGCATCTTAAAACCATAATTTTCTCACTTTACAGAAAAGCAGACTAATTTGGCTTTTCTTTTTCCTAGCTTATTTTCCAGACTATGCACATAAAATGTGTTCATATTAGGAAAATTTGGAAAATACAGAAAAGCACTATGAAGAAAACAAAATGTACCCCAAATCCCATCACTCAGATAATGTCACTATTAATGTTTTGATACGTATTTTCAGTTTTCCCTATTGGGTTAAATCTTCATTTCATTTTTGAATACATAACTTTCAGGAAAGAAATTGAACCTTTTCTGCCACCTCTGAAGCCTGATTACTGTGTGAAGCAGGCCATGAAGGCCATCCTCACCGACCAGCCCATGATCTGCACGCCCCGCCTCATGTACATCGTGACCTTCATGAAGAGGTAACCAGGAGGGCCCCCCTACTGCCTGGGTCTTGCCGTGCCTGCCAATACCTTCAAGTTTGCTAACACCTGTGACTTTCCTTTTTCAGCATCCTTCCTTTTGAAGCAGTTGTGTGCATGTATCGGTTCCTAGGAGCGGACAAGTGTATGTACCCGTTTATTGCTCAAAGAAAACAAGCCACAAACAATAATGAAGCAAAAAATGGAATCTAATAGCCCTTTTGTATGGAATATCATTTCTATTAGAAGACGATCAAGATGTTTCAGTCCAATGCACATCAGCATTACTGACATTCTCTGGATTCTAAACTCATGTTGACTTTTTTTAATCAACTTTTTAAAAAAATAAAGTGTAAATTAACTGACTAGTGTACTTGGAAAATGTGATCGGTAAAAGTGAGCTTAGGTTGTTGCCAACAGGGTCCTTTTTGACAGAACCCTAAAACTAGTTAAATCTTCAGACAAGCACTGTGAGATATCTTCAGGCTATCATTATTTTTCAATGAGCAGAAAGTCTAGAAGTAATAACTACAGTGTATTTCATGTGTGTGATTTTTCTGAATTCCCATAGTTTACTCATTCCTACCATTAAACTCTAGTCAGTTGACATCCTTGCAACTTCAAGGACTGATAGTGCTATATTTTTTCAAGTCTAAGTTTCAGTTTTGCAAAGACTATGGCTTTTTCATGGTGTTTGTATGTTCAGCTCTTTTAAAAAGGAATTTTGAAATCTCCATCAGTTTGAAGTAAATGATGTGTGAGTGTTACAGTAAAAGTGATCAGGTCTCTTTCTTAAGTCATAATGACTAAAGTATTAGCCAAATTTTTAATCTTATTTCTTAATTACTTCATTAAGTGGCTGGAGATCTAGTTATCCAAAAAGATCATACATTTTCTACCTATGAATTTTGCTGCATACAGAAAGTGCCCTTTCCTCAGGAAGTTGCTGTGTTTTATTTCTTCGGATGGACTCTTATCTAGAATACATAGCAGCTCTGCAAAGAAACAGTTTCTAAAAATGGGAACTTCTACATTTAAAAGTCCCCATTTTTGTGCCAACTATGATTAGTGAGGGGGAAAAATCTTATTCTACGGAGTATTATGGAAGGGTGTAAAGATTCTTTTGAAAGGTTTATTCACATTGTAGAACAACAAATGACATTTTTACAGTATTTTTTTGTAAAGCAAACTATTTTGTGCCTTGAATTTGGTATATGTGTATTAGTGAAACATTGTAAAAGTGAACTTCTACCTCTGTATCTAAATGTATACCATCCACTTGTAAATTACTATAAACTATTATGTGATTGCTTTTTTTTTTTTTTAGAATGTCTTGTTTAATAGTGACCAATGTTTAAGGCTATTAAAATAAGCCAACTTTTACTAATTGGGAAGTTTTATAAAGGACTGATTAAATTTAAAGAATTAACATACATACAACTGACTGTGTGATTATTAGTTATAAGCAGTGTTGTAAGGGAAATCATTGTGTTCTTTTCCATTCCATAATCTGCCTTAGTTAAAGAAAAATGTTTGAATGGGATAGTTTTGGGAACAGATATTAACAGCCTAGGGTGCCACACACTGAAATTTCCAGTGTATCATCTACCTAGATTAAATACTTTATCAAGGGCTTGTTTATATTGAAAATGAGAAAACAGAAAGAACCCCATTACCTGTGTATAGTTTTGCTGCCCCACGGATCAAATCTGCTCTGTATCCACATGTGGGAAGGGTCCTGGCTCCTGCTAATGTTCCCAACACTGGTCTTAAGGAAGAGCTTCACTGTATGTGGAATTTCTCTTTATAATGATAACCAAACCTTGAGGCCATTATAATCATTGAGGCACTGGCAGCCTCTTGATTTTTAATTATGGATTTAAATAAGTACTTTGAAGTAGTCTCATAACAATATGGGGTGGGACACATAACTGGCCAGCCCTTCAGATGTTATCCAGGTCTGCCTCCCAGCCGGCCTGGAGCACACACAAACCATCCTAGAGAAATCTATTCTCATTTAATGACCCATTTATCAACCTCAAAACTAAGGAGATTCTTTACATCTAATTTTATTCTAATGTGTTGTAATTTAAACCTATTTCTATGTTCGTTTGTTATTGCCTTTCTAAGGTTATCCATCTCCAAGTTCAATAAACCTAATTCATTTAACTTTTTTGTAGAAGTCTTTCATTACCACATCCCAGCCCAGTTTGTTTACTTCTGTGGCTCTCCCTTGAACGTTGTCCAAATTCTCTTTTCCATCTTCAGCTTTGGAGTTTGGAAAGGGATACGGTACATGCAAGTTTGGAGCTATGGGATTCCTACCTGTTGAAGTTCTTCATCCCAGTATCATATTCTGACTATAGCGCTACATTGCTGATTTGTGTGTGTGCATGTTTTTCCTAAACATGAAATCTCTTCTAGTCAAGCCTGCACACTTGTGTTGATCATTTGTGTAATTGCCAAGGTTACCTTTCTGGCTGGTTGTCCATCTGCAACCTCCCACCCCACCTTGACATGAATGCTGACTTTGAATTTGTTCTTTTTGCTGTTATCTGGCCCATTCATGTGAATGTTAAGGACCACTGGGCTCCAGGCTGACCCCCCAAGAGCACCACTTCTGTTCCCCAGGTAGTACTGGCCCTCTAACCTTTCAACCAGTTTAATGATAATCATATTGAGAGGGACCCAGGAATCAAAAGTTTCAAAGCCAGCAAACATAAATTCCAACTATTTGTTTTCTCCCTTGATCTACCAGTCTACTGCTCTGTCACAAAAGATTAGATTAGCTTGACAGTATTGAACTACATAAAGCCACGCTGGGGTGGGTGTGCATGTGTGTGTGTGTGTGTGTGTTTTAAGTATCCTGTTTCCTTGAAAAGCTATAGCTTTCAAATTTTTCCCAAGTTAAAAAAAAAAATCAAGTTAAATGTCTTTTTCAAAGATTTCTTTTCCAACTGGCAGAAATAATTCTAAATTGATGTTGACCTGAATCTTGGAAATTTGCTTTTGCCTCCAACAAAATAGAAAATCAGTGGGGGTTGGGAGAGGAGGATAGTTCTTTCCATGCCAAATTTACTGCCTGTGTCTGATTAGAAAGAGGAATAGGGGAAACAAGGCTGTCATCTCCAGAAGTGTCTGGGACACAGGGCCAGGGGCATATAGTAAGCATTTGTGCACAGTCAGCTCAGCAGATACAGCAGGCGTCTCCTAGGCCAAACTGCTGATAGCAGGGACTCAAACAGCTTGCAGTCAACTCATAGTTACAAATATGTGTACCTTTATATGTGCATGCCACAACCAAAGCCTCAGAGTGTGATGGGGTCTCAACAAGGTAGGGAGGAGAAAGGGGACAGTTTAGATAAGCCTGGAAGGTTTGTGATGCAGCCAGTAGAGTTGGGGATGGGAGTTTGGGCAGTCCACGGAATGGATTCTCAGGAAAGGCCTAGAGGTCAAAAAAGGAAGCTTATACTCATGTGGCTGAAACCTAGAACATGGGACGAGAATGGCAGGCATTCCTTAAGAAGATCTCATCTTGAAAATTTAGTCTTCATTCCAAGTTGAGGAATGGGTCCTTCAATTGTTACAGAAGAGAGAAGCCCTAGAAAGTTTTTTAGCAGGAAAACATGTGCAGAGTTGTGAGTTAATGGGATCAGTTAAGCTGCTGTAAAGAATTTCAGGACACAGGAAGCAGGGAGACCAGTTGGGGGGAAGCCACTGCAGTAGTGCAGCTGAGAGGTGACCAGGGCCCGCGAGGGAGGAAGAACTCCCAGGCTGAACAACAATCGTACAGGAGATTTACCCTGCAAGCTCAGGGTACTGAAGATGGCTTCTCACCCCAGAGGAGCCAGGTTGTTTTAAGCAGGAAGAGCAGAATTCACGAACAGTGAATCTGATTTAGAAATGTTTCATTTGAGATGCCGGGTGACAATTACTGCCAAACAGGTGAACATCTAGCTCTGGTCCTCAGGAAGGAGGTTGGTGCTAGGATTCTGGAGTCACCTGCACAGGAGCTGTGAAGTGAACAGACCCGGGAGGGAGAAAGCACAGAATGATCCAGGGACCCACCTCGGGAAACAAGAGGGAGCAGCAGTAGTCATAACAGGTGACAAGGAAAGTTAGGAGGGGGACTTCCTCCTCTGCAGGAGAAACCAGACGAGAAATAATTATCTCCTCGGCTTAGACCTAATCCCCAGGCTGACTCACACTTAAGAAACCTCAGTCTGGCCCAAGAAAAAGAGTTTGTGTGGCCAGCTCTAGGGCAGAGGCCCAAAAGGTGAAGGGCAGTGTTAACAGATAGCACATGGAGCCTCTAGCCGCGCGCTCCGGTTTCTAGTAACTAAATCCATTGTTAAAACGACCAGAGGAAAATTTCTTCCCAAGTGAAACTTGGAAGCTGTTGTTCTTTGGCAATTTTGTTTGCTTGGCCTCAAATCATGACCTGCTTAATTGCGCAAGCAACGTTTCATGAGAACCCTGGGGAGAAGCAAAATGCGCTTTGAGTATCACCAAATGGATACATGTTAGTTCACATGAACCGTTTTCATGTGCCAAAAAGATGAGACGGGACCAGCTTCTATCAGTCTGCTCAAAGAGACGGGCTCCTATCTGGTCCCTGAAGCACTAAAGTCACAGCCGGCCAAGAACTGCCGGGGCAGGTCTCAGGTTAAGATGGATGCCCACCGCACTGCCCAGCTCGCCCTGGCAATGTCAGGGCAGAGCAGCGTGTGACCACAGCCTAGCTGCTATTTATTATGGCTCCTCCTGGGGCTTACAGTTCCTACATTCCAATGCTATTTCAATGCATTTCACTACCTCTCTCTCTCCTCAGGAAAGCACTGAGAGTGTGCAGCCACACAGGCCAGAGAATCCCGCTCCCTGAGTAGTTATCTCTCATTCCTCTTGATCCATTTCTGTAGGGAACTTACGCAATGTCTTCCAGGAGCTCCTAATGAGCTTTTGTGCTGTTACTGTTGAAACCTTTCTTACCACTAGTCAAAGGCAAGAGAATTGATTAGCAAGAAAAACAAAGCATCTTCAACCCAGATTCTGAGGTTTTCCTGTCAAGGTGATTGAAACCATGCTGCAGGGAGAGATGCATGCACCCAGCAGCCATGAGAAATGCCCCCTTGCATTGCCCACTCATCCTGGGTGGTCCACCTGGAAGCCACTCAGCAGGCCGACCCTCCCCGGGAGAGGAATCCCAGCCTGGCTCCTCCATCCCAGCCCTCCGCCTGCACGCGGGCTACTCCCCAGCCAGCCCAGCTCAACTAGGACTGAGTGGTCCAGGAGGCTGATGGGCAGGTGGGGGGTCTTGGCCCAGACACAGGCACACATGTGTATGTGGACAGGGTAGCATCCTGCAGCCGTAGATTCCTGAGTCACAGAGGTCAGTGTTGTGGACTGAACCATATCCCCATAAAAGATATGTTGAAGTCCTAACCCCCATAGCTGAAAAATGTGTCCTTATTAGGAAAGAGGGTATTTGCAGGTGTAATCAAGATGAGGTCATGTTGGATTAGAGTGTGGCCTAAATCCGATTACAGAAGAGACACAGAAACACACACGGAGAAGTTGCCATGTAATGCAGAGGCAGAGATTGGAGTGATGTAGCTACAAGCCAAGGTACATCAAGGGACTGTACCAAGGACCAGAAGCTCAGAGAGACATGGAACAGATTCTCCCTCAGAGCCTCCAAAAAGGAACCAACCCTGCTTATACCTTGATTTCAGACTTCCAGCCCCTAGAACTGTGAGAATAGATTTCTGTTCTTTTAAGCCACCCAGTCTGTGATACTTTGTTATGGCAGCCCTAGCAATATACTCACCCTGAGCTCAAATCCAGCTCTGCCCCTCACTAGCCACATATCCTGAGCCCTTGTTTAACCTCCATAAGTCTCCATCTGCTCATGTGTAAAGTGGGAAGAACAGCAGTACCTACATCAAGAGTACTGTGAGGAGTGTGAAAGGATACACAGAAAGCACATAGTACTGTGCCTGCTACACCTTGTAAGCATTCAGTAGATTACATTAGGTTGATCACATAAAATTGCTTTTACTCAACTGTTTTGGCCTACAAAAATGGCCATTTCATATAGTTCAGCCTAACAGTAATGATGGGGGGGGGGGTTGGATGGTGACAGTGCCCATATCAGAGTCCCTATTTATAGTACTGTTTTGTGTTTCCAACAATTCTCAATTCCCTGATACCAGCCAAGTATCCTACCATTCAATCCCGATGGGTTAAAGGCTCAGTCCCACAAGACTGCCCCCACTTCAGATGCCAGCCTCAAGTGGGGTCCCCAGACTTCCTGCTCATCTGCATGGCTGACTACAAATTCAGGTTCAATCATTCACTAGAATGACCCAGAACTCAGGAAAACATTATACTTACAATTATGACTATCAGAAAAAGATCCAAAGAACAGCCAGATGAAAGAGATGCACAGGCCAAAGTGTGTGGAAAGACAGGAAGCTTCCATGCCTTCTCCAGGGGCACCATCCCAGTACCTCACTGTTCACCAACCTGCAAGCTCTCCAAACCTGGTTATGAAAGAGTTCTTACTAAAGTTTTATTACATAGACATGATTGATCAAACTATTTGTCCACTACTGAATGAACTCAATCTCCATCTGCTCTTCTCTCCCCAGAGGTGGTGGGGGATATAGCAAATTCTAACCTCTCCCTTAAAACTCTGTGAGGACACCCACACCTTGTGCCATCTCATTAACATAAACTCAGGTATGGTCAAAAGAGGCTCAATTTATTTTTGTGTATTTTTTTGTTTGTTTCTTTTTGTTGTTTCTTCTCCCCCCCACCCCCTTTATTTTTCTTTTTAGAGGCTCCTTTTGAACAACAAAAGACACTCCTATCACTCTGGAAATTCCAAGAGTTTTAGGAGCTCTGTGCCAGGAACTGGGGACAAAGACCAAATATATTTTTTATTTAATACCATAATACCTACTGTGTTACAATTAGTTATTTGTACATCTGAGGACAAAGGTCTTGTTTTATTTGTCTCAGTAGTCCTAGTCCTAACACCTTACATAGAGCCAAGCACACAGTAGATGCTCAATAAATGTCAACTTGCTTGACCTTTGTGCTCTTCAAATACCTGGTGGTCATCTCATCTGGGAAATATGTTACCTTTGCCTTACCCAAGAAAGGGC